AATTTTTTTTTTTTTTTTTTTTTTTTTTTTTTTTTACTGCCGCCAGTCAAAAACGTAAAAGGTTCGCAGAATATCGAAAATCGCAGTTTAGTGTACCACTTTGCACATAAAACAGAATTATGCAGACCTGCCCCGGTCTTCCAAGGATAGAGTCCTTGCTTTGTAATTGTTTTATTCATTTGTTTATTTTAGAATCTGGGATTCCAGTTCAGGCAACTTATTAATGACTTTAAATGGACACACGGTAAGATTTATAAATCCATTTAGTTTGTTGCTACAAATGAGAAACTTTATGTAACAGATAAAGCAACTATAGCGGCCAGACATAACCCAAGCAAATTAAAATCCGGGACAAAATAATAAGTGGATCCTCATCGTTTTCGCGAAAGAAAACAGTAAATTTTGTTTGTGATGTAACAAATGTATTTTATGGAATATAAGCTCACATGCAGATTATTTTCTCAAAGCTGCGCATTATGTTTTTTGTTGCTCAGATTTGTTTTATCCTCCGGGCCGGGATAAGATATTTGGTTGGGGGACTTACCCCTTAACTAGTTGTTCAATAATAATTTAACTAATAATATGTTGTCTATGTGTGTGTGTGACAGAGAGGAGTTTGGAGCCTGCGATTTCTCTCCACAACAATACTAATCAGCGCTTCATATGACAAAAGCATAARAGTAAGTATATATAGTCTATTTTTCGTGCAAAACATCGCGTAACACTCCCGTACCGAAATTATTTTATCGATTCTTTACCTCCTTGATGAATTTCCGGTTTTACACATTGATGTTATAAAAAATTTTGTTGGTCATCATATCATCATGATCATGGAATTACACCGAATATGCGTTATTATAAAAAAGTCTAATGATTGAGCCCGTTATGATGGTCTGATCTACTCACGATTGTAAACTGGTTGGCTGCATTGTGCTCCGCAATACCAGTCCAAAACATATCATGATATAACTAGCTAAAAABTAGTGTGAGCTGCGTCGGTGTTTCTGATGAAACAATAATGATGAAAAGGTAAATTATACACCGTGAAAAGATGAAAAAACTTACTGACGTTTCGGACGCTAGTCCTTCGTCGGAGTAAAAAGTCTAATGATTCATCTTTTCACGGTGTATAATTTACCTTTTCATCATTACCAAAACATATCATGAAAACTGGCACTTCTGAGATGTTTTATAGTATCAGCTTTTTCCTTACTATGAAGAAAACTACCCTCTCATTCCCTATTGTACAGGATTTTAAAATTACCTTTGATTTGCTTAGGTATGGAACCTTCGTACAGCTATTTGCTCAAGGATTCTTCTAGGTCACGAGGCACCTGTGTGGGCAATAGAAAGGAAAAAAGATATTCTTATCAGTGGTTCGGGAGATAAAACAGTAAGTTGCAATATCTGAGTCTAGGCATTTTATTCAGTTTACCATCGACCCGACTTCTAAAGTTTTGGATTTCCTGGGTGACCAAAAAAATGTAAGTAACGGTATCTGTATCATGTCTATCCAGGCATAAAGCCACTCCACCGAAACGTTCATACATACAAGTGCTACAGGGGGGAGGAGGGAGGGTGATGCCTCCAACTTCCATTTCCCTATCATCCCCCTCTCGCTGCAACTCTCTGCACGGAAGAATTGCATTTCCAGTTGTTTGAATAGCAAGAATAACGGTACTTCTTCACTTTTGCAGATTAGCAATTCCAATTTTGAGGGAAAAACCGGGTCGAGTTGGCATTGCAATGCATTGTTGGACTGCTTTTTAAGGGACATATTTTTAAGATGATGGCTATTTTGTCCCCGCCCACAGCAATGTGTTCCCTCTCGTGATCATTAGTGGAAGAGTTTCAAAAAGTTGTTGGACCATGAACTAATGATTTTGATTTTGTTGTTGTTTATTTTAGGCAAAGTTATGGAATATCCGTCAGTGTAAACAGCTTTGTACCTTATTTGGACACACGTGTTCTGTATTCTGTGTGGATCTAGATGATCAAGCAAAAACAGCCTTTACTGGCTCAGCTGACAGGGTATATAGTGAAAAAGCTTCACCTGTTTATTCATTCAATATGTCAAACGCTATAAGTATTTTTTATAATGTCTTATTTTATCAATACGATAGACTGTCCGTATTTGGGATGTTGCGTCTGGAGCATGCGTTGGAATAGTACACGCTGGTCACTCGTGTGCGTCTGCAGTCACAGCAGTCAGTTTTGATCAGGTAATCTCTAAAATAAACAGCATAATCGATTTCATGCTAGGCCTCAGAACTTTTCACTTCTCTGCAATCTTACTTCCCCTTTGCAGGAACTCTACTAAACCTCGATACTTTCCGAGGCCCCGTCCACACTATGCCGGGTAAATTTGAATCCGCAACTTTCACACCGAAACCGAAAAAAAAGTTTTCCGTCCTCACATGAAAACGGATAAAATGTTTCGCGTCCACACTAGTCAAAAAATCGTTTTCGGTGAAGAATTGTTCCGGATTCGCCCGGACTAGTGTGGACGGTAGGCCTAACCGAATAAATAAAAATTCGGATTCAAATTTATCCGGCATAGTGTGGACGGGGCCTGAGTCTAGGGGTGTAACATTGTAGTAGATATAGATGTATCGTTCAATTTCCCGTTTGTACGTAATTGATTCTTTCTAACTCCTAGAAAGTGTAAAATCCTCCTAGGCTAGACTATTTAATACTACTTGCTTTTTTCTTTCTAGGGACATTTAGCTGTGGCCACAGGTCATATTATCTCGTTATGGAATCTGACAACAGGCTCTTGTCTGCAGGAGCTTAAAGGCCATAAGGGGAGGTTAGAATAATTATTTAATTGTTTGTAGTGTTTAAAAAACGAGTAGGAGTGTTTTATCAGGTATAAAAGCACGAGGCGTAGCCGAGTGCTTTTATACCTGATAAAACACGATCTACGAGTTTTTTGAACTGCTTAAAACACTCATGAACAATTTATAAGATTTTGGTTCAACTGGAGCCACCATACACGTCACGAACATGGATTTTTATACTTCGATAGAGATTTGACGTCACGGGCATGCGCAACCAGATTCAATAGAAGCTCCCACACGTTGGATATTGCGTGCCAAGGCAAAGACAGGCACGTTATGGACTATGGCCTTGATGAAGCTCTATATCTTCATCTAAACTTGGATGCATACTTCATCCCGATGAAGTCATCCTCAGTATTCGAGTGGTCTTTATATAAAGATCACATGTGTCTTTATATAAAGATCACATGTGTCTTTATATAAAGACACATGTGTCTTTATATAAAATCACTTGAATACTAATGAAGAGGACTTTATCGGGTATAAAGGTTCATGCACGTGACGTRTATGGTGGCTCCAATTGGACCATAAGCCTATGAATTATTAATGAGTGTTTGAAATATTATTAACGTACTTCAGCGCAATACTTCATCCTTGAAAATTGCTTCTTCTAATTTCCTTCTTGCATTAAGTAAAATTCGTAACGCAATCATGTCATTCGGTGTAGTCGTTGCTCTTGTTGTTGTCGTCGCTGATGCTTTYGTAGTTGTTGTAACTAGTAAGCTGTTGTTGTTGCTGCTGTTGTTTTTATCCGCTTTCCATTGACCGGTATTATCTTGTTCGTGGACTACTACTGTAGCAGCATACCTTACATTCAATCGATTGATTACAGGAAGTTCTCAGTTCTCAGCTCTGTACTTAGACATGTTTCCAAAGGCAAAGATGTGCAACGTGCATGTCTGCGGCTTATTTTGGAGAAATGGAGAAATATTTTATTTTGCTTGTTCACCAGGATCGAATCCATACGACTGCGGTTTTTAATGGTAAACGGGAAGAAAGAAAGTGGATTGATTGTTAGCGCAGGAAAAGACTCTAAGATTAAGTACTGGGATATAGAAGAGTAAGTATGTTATCACGGAATGGAAATTATGGTGAAAAAGCTAAGCTTGAATAGAATAATTATCCAATTTGGTTACATAATTACGTGGCTGTAAGGCTTTCTGTATCGAGTGCATTTGGTACGAATAGCAACCCCATAAGTCGGAGCGTTTTGTCATCCATTTTAAAGCTGTTGAGTTTTCAGGGTAAAGTAAGGAATGCCGCCCTGACCCCTAAAAACGCCCCTCAAAACATGGCAAGGAGAATAAAGTTACAAGAACATCTACTTAAATTCATATATTATTTCCACTTTAATATGAGTTGGGGAGTCTTGGGTTATGCGTTAGTGTGAGGCGAATGCTCTCATTGCTTCAATACTCATGATATGTTTTATCCACATTGATGCATCTAGGACTCTGACATACTCTGTGATAATAATATGTTTAATAAGTCTATTATTGTTTCTCCTGCAGGGGCAAGTGTATCCAGACACTGACTGGCAGCAAAGATTCAGTCAACTGCATACATTTTGACGACACCAGAATAATCAGTTGTTCTTATGATGGGAAGATTAGAATCTGGGACTTTAATAAGTGAAGGAATTCTGGGATCAATCTATTGTAAAACAGCAGACAAAGTGGGCGCTTGTTTATAATTTATTTTCACCGTCCAGGCCTCAGCCTTGGTTAAATTTAGGTTATAGGAGGTTGGTTAAGTAATAGAGGAAGAAAATGGAAATGTCGGCCGAAAGAAAAGATGTTTGTCACCACTCTCTTATCTCAACAACTGCGTAAATTTGCAAMTTTATTGAGGCCAATAACTAAGAATTACACGCCGCTTTCATAGAAAACGTTATAGAAATGAAAAGAAAGATCCAGGGGAAGGGAAGTAAATTGGGTAACTATAGCAACCCCCAGTTGAAAAATGATAAATTTTAAAGAATAAGGTAGTATCTGAAAAGCACACTGTGTTTCCTTTCTAGGTAATAGTCAACCCCCTTGAAATCGTTCTGTATATGCCTCTGAAAAAGTATTTTTTGGTACCGTGTCATACTGTCATAAGGCTATTTACCTCTAAACCGACAGACGTTATCCAATAAGAGACCATTCTTAGCTTAGCCAACGAGGACGCACTATTTGCATTAGTGTAATAGTTTGTTTATACGAAACCAGTAGAAATTACAGAAAAAGGACAAAAATTTAATGCGTGTTTGGTGGATGTGCCTGTGTTAAGCACGTTAGTTGGTACTGGGCCCAGTTGTTCAAAGCCCGATTAGTGCTAATCCTGGGTTAACTCTTAATATATAGAGTTAACTCTTAACCTATAGAGTTAATCCTGGATTAGCACTAATCCAGCTTTGAACAACCCGGCCCTGGAGGTAATCTTGTTAGCCATTTGCCGGATCTGTAGAAATGCGTTGCATTATGGGTCTGTTTTGAGGGACCCTTCATTAGTCAGTTGACATATTATGCTTCAAGAACCGAAACTAATCTGAAAATTAAGATACAACTAACGTTTTCCATCGTTCATTATAAGCAAACATCCCACCTCCCTCATGCAACACGTTCTGCAACTCCGGAACTGCTAACACGTTTCTTGGCTCCTGTCTCTCTTGTTTGTGTAACATGCCTATCAAGAGTTTTTATCAAATACACATGTAAATAAAATAAAATATATCACACTATTGACTTGTTAGATTCATTGGCATGAGCAGCAACAGTGGTGTGTGAAGGGATATGGGATGGGGGCGGGATTATAAACGATGGTTTTCAAGCATTCCYAAAAGAATGAAATGTGAAAAAAGACATTGCCTCCATATATTGGTGGTGTAAAGAAAGCTAATTTAAGAATTAATATTTTATTATAAGTACCACCAATATGACCGCAGTGACATATCGTGCATTATTACTGCCAACCAAATTCGAAGCAAGTTCGAACCTGATGATGATGAGGATCAAATATAAGAGTCCACGTTTCCGCTGAGCTATGAGTACGTCAGAGGAAATATAGATTAGAAATTACGTTCTCCTCTTCCTCCTCCTTCTCTTCCTCCTCCTTTTTCATTTTCTATTTTTATTGTCGATATCTTATTTGAAATAGTTTGGCGTTGAAAATTGGCGATCACAAATTAAATGCTTGCACTTTTTAATAGCGCAGCGCAGCCATGACGTCATAAAAACGAAGACAAAGGCGAAATTCGGACAAACAAACTTACAAGTTTACTTTCAGCAGATAATTTTCACAGCCGACCGCATTTGATCTTAGTTTACATGGGTTATTATTGTAACTTTAAGTAAAAATAATAAAATCGGTTCGTATAATCCTCGTAGCGGTTAAACAGAATGCAATGTTTGTCCGAATCTTTAAGCTATTTTTAGAATCAGCGCTCTGCGCTATTAGATATTACGTACGCAACTTTGGTCATGATATAGGTTAATACATCAATTATCTCAGTGTCATCTTCCAGATAAGGAGTCTTTCAGATACGTTTTTCATACAGGAAGTTTCGTTATTATTCATTGAAATCCGCCCTCTTACTTGCACTTGCCAGAACACTTCACAGTTCCTTTATTGGGTTTGAGAACAATCACGTACTTTGCTCTCACCTCAAGATTTCGAGGCACGAACTGGCAAATGTCTTCTATTGCGGATAGCCAAATGAGAAAACATTGCGAACAAATTAATAGGGTTTAATGTTTCCTTCGCGTTAAGCTTCTAATGTTTCTAACATAATTTTGCTATTACAACTTTCCTATGCGCGCAATGCATTGAATTGGCTTGAACAATTTCTAACTCCAATAATTTTTATTTATAGAAATTACATGCATATGAGTATTCTATATAGTGTTATGAAGTTATTTTAGTGTTTTGGGGGGGTTTGTGGAGGCGGGGACGGAATTGCTCCGGCGTAATGGTTTTCCTTTTTAGATCACATATCATTCCCTTGTCTGAAATGGGAAGCCAAGTTGTTGCTTGATCCAGGAAATCACAAGTGCGAAAGCCTGGCAAATAATAATTTTAAAAAAGACTTGGAAGAAACGAAATCGGATATAACATCGATCATGATCATCCGATCCCCACGTACAAAAATATTCTTGACAGGAATAACTGGTTCATAATTGGCTAACTCTTTAGGGATTAATTAGGGTCACCAATGCAGTGATAGTTGAAAATTCTAGTTTATTCAAATGAGGCATTTTTTAGAAGAAAAAGTCTAAACATTTCGTCGATGGCACACCCTGAAACAGCTTCTGAGCAAATAAACTCAGGGTACGGTTAACCGCACAAGAATCGGAATTTATATAAAGATCCAGCTTGTTCTAAGCCTTCTAAAGGAGTACCTTTTCAGATAAAGGTATTTAAAAGTGTTTTTTTTTTTCTTTTTTTTTTTTTTTTTTTTTTTTTTTTTTTTTTTTTTTTTTGTTCGGTTTGTCGGTGTTTTTTGTTTTTTTTGCTGAAATTTGGTCATCATTAAAAGGGTAAGAGTTTTGAGGGTCCGGATGGATTATCCGAGTACCGGAAATGGCTAAAAGTACCCCTTTCCCCCCTTTCCCCATACCTTTCCCCGTCCCCATCTTCATCCCCTCCTCCCCATCCTTATCCCTATCCCCTCCTCCCCTCCTCACCCCTCCTTCCCCATGCAATTGACATCCGTTGGGATAGGATGCAATAAATGCTAGATATTACGAAAACAGTCAGCCGGTCGTCATGGTTAGATGCTACAAAATCATTCATTTCTATTTTCAATAAATAGGTAATTTAAAATATATATAATAATAATTAAAAATATGATGGCAAAAGCTAGACTTTTTATCATCGGTGAACTTGGCTCAGAAAATACATTCCATCAACAATCCAGGAAATTTGAGACTTGTGGGTCATAAAACTTGACTTCATCTCAAAAGCCCAAAAGACTTGTTCGCCAAGACTTGCAAAATATCGTGAATACAATGAGTGCGCAGAAATTGTGCAAGTTTATCAACCAGTGGATGGGCATCTACATTTGCAGGACTTCCACCCCCTCCCCCTCCCCTTCCCTCCCTCTCTCAGTCTATGTAGATTGTTCGAAATATTTGTATATATTTCCTTAGTGTCAGGACTCAGGGCCCTTCACATACACGAGAGCATCATCATCACCCCATAAATAAACCTGGCTTCCTGTAAGCGATAGCTTTGAATGCAAGCGTTATAAGGTCAACAACGTGGCTAAAATTTAAAACAGAGTATCRCAGCAGCGAGAGAGGATAGTTCTACACAACTGCTGATCATTATTACTCTAGGTGAGGCATTAGCTTTTGAAGAGTGATAATGATTTTATCGTAGAATAATTGGACCAGCTCCCACAACAAATCCATATCATTATTAGAGTTTAAGCTGTGCTATAGGAACAGTGGATCGTCTTGTATAAATTATGCTTTAGGACTTCGAGTTAATGACGAACCAAACCGTTACAAATGTTTGTGCCAGCATTGAGAAACGTAACCAATGAAATATCTCACAAGATTTTGTTACTACATAATGAACAATATCATCACTCTCATCCGTGACAAATAATGTCTTGTTGCTTTGTATCAAGAAGCAGCTATATAAATATAAATTCTTTCTGAGTTAGCTAGTGTCCCTGGTTTCGTTTGAATGTTAGACTACTTTTGCCAGACATACTGACTTGCGTATTGGGCCCAGTTACATAGAACACATGGGGTACCTAAACTATGCGCAAGTTACTTTCGATGACAAAAAAGTTAAGGTTTTTAAACATCTTTTTTTAATAAAAGCGCCATTACATGAARCAATTTTCCTTGCAAGTTGTCTCACAACAGCGCTCTGACACAAGCTGCTAGAGTAATATGATGCTCCAGAATTACCTAGAGCATTCTAAAATTGGGGTTTTTTTTTTGTTTGTTTTTTTTCGGCAAAATTTGGTACGATTTTGACATTTTGTCAAATCACGCAATAAAAAAATGTCAAAGTCCTTGAAAAAAGGATCATTTTTTCCAATTTGAATGAATGTCAATTTTTTGACAATTTTGCAAATATTTGCTTTTCATGTCAGGAGTATAACTTTTTTTAAATGTCAAAATTCGCCAAAAAATGTCAAATATATATTTCCGGAGAGTATCTTCTGATGCTATTGCATGTAGTCTTGAGGGGGCAGTTCATTTTATTATCACTGGCACAGAAATTTCTAAGTCAAATCACTAGACCACCACTGGCACAGGGGGGGTCAGTGTTTATGCGGTGCAACGGAGACACAATCGTTGCCAAAAGTAGAAACGATCGCGAGATTGCTGCAGCTTCTCTCGCAGCATTTTTTTTTTTTTTTTTTTCCAAAATTGCCCTGTAGTATACATGTTGCAATGCTTCATACAACTTATGTCGCAACGCCGTTGCGAGACAAGTTGCATAGAAAATTGCTCCATGTAATCGTGCCTTTTAAGTACTAATCGTAGCTTTTGTTGTCTTCGACAGCAATGAGTAAAACACTGATCTTCTTCCTGGCTTTGTCGCTGATTGTGGTAGTTGCACAATGCAAGCATGGTGGCAGTTACAATAATGACTGGGATGATGATGGTTCAGCTTCGTTTGACGATGATGATGACGACTGGGATGACAGTGGCAGCGGATGGTCCTTTAATAGGAAAAAGGATTTCATTTTTCCTCGAAGGCACCACGTCAAGCATCAATTCAGACACTGGAATAATAATAGACAAGTTATCCATCTGAAAAGTTAGTATCGAGTATTGCATTTCGCATAAAAACGTGAGCCGATCCAGAGGAGGGTGATGGAGGGAGGGGGGGTGGGTTTCTCGTTTGCCATTGAGTTTATTTGACCTCATTGGGATTCTTGTGTTTTTATGGTGTCTGGAGATATAAATACATGTCTGACCTTGGCTATTCAGTACAAAATGGTTTGAATAGGTGTACATTCACATACACAAAAGAGTTTTTAGTATTATAGCAGTATTTTAAGTAGAGTAATTACAATTGTCTAATAAATACGTCTGTTTTAGATTGCTATATCTCTAACTGCATGAAGTGCAGAAATTACAATTGCTGGCATTGCATGCCTGGGTTCAGGCTCAAGAGACAGCCGTTTGCACTTGGCAAGAGATGTGTACCAGACTGCCCTTTTGGCAAACGAGATGCCAATGGAACGTGCCAGAATAATGGTAAATTTTAAATATTAGCCAAATCTGTAAAGAGAATTTTTCTTCCAATAACTACTAACTGGTTATCTTAGGTCAAATTTAACAAATTGACATCAGTGTTTTATGTGTCTGTCCTCTTATTGACGATAAATTGCCTCATCACATTATCAAAGTAGTGTGGATCCACGGGGCGTAGCCGAGTGTTTTTTACAATAACAAAAACGTCTTGACGTCAGCTTTATCTGTTTGTCCTCTTATTGACGATAAAAAATAACCAATCAGCGCGTGAGGAATTTGTAAGTTAATGTAACAAAATGATTTTCAGTGACATACCATGGTAAATTCCACGAAACAATTGTATTAACAAGTTGTAAAAAGGTCTTAAATAGCTGAATCAAAGCACGGCTAGTTAATCAAAATTATCTACCGGCCATGACATTTTAAAATGTTTAGGAATCCTTGTTTAAAAGTAATAAATACTTTTAGCTCGGATTTCTTGAATTACACTAGTCAACAAAATAGAGCATGCGTAGGCTCAATCTCTGTCACGTGATAATCTAGCTCCCCACCAATAAAGATACGCTTTTTTTAAGTTTGTCAAAATGTGCCTAACTGCGAGAAGTGCCAAAAGTTTCCATGGAACCGCTCATGTCTGAAGTGTAAGAATGGCTGGCACCGATTTAAGCCTCGAAACCAGATGATCGCGCAATGCGTCAGTGTTTGCCCTCGTGGTTACCGGGCAACAAATGATACACTTAATCCAACATGCCAGGAAATACCTTCTTGTGAGTAAAACATATTTATATTTTTTACTGCCGTCATCAATATTTATRACTTATTGCGCTAACACGGGCTCATATTTGTATCTAGTTGGTAATATATATATAAATATATATATAAAAACTTCAATATAGATGGTAGATCAACGATGATATAAATATATATATATGTATATATATTTGTTTGAGAAGAAAAAGTCAAGACAACATTTTTCC